GTGCCTCTGGTCACCTCTAAGTGTTGCAGGAAGGGGGACCCCTTCCAGGGCCCGAAACTCGGCTCTTGTCTAACACTTGGAAATGAATTGTCCGAGGAGACACATGCTGACAAAGCAAGAGATTTTATTGGGAAGGGCACCCAGGTGGAGAGCAGTAGGGTCAGGGAACCCAGGAGAACTGCTCTGCCAAAGTCTCAGGTTTTATGGTGATGGGATTAGTTTCTGGGTGGTCTTTGGCCAATCATTCTAATTCAGAGTCTTTCCTGGTTGCTCACGCATCACTCAGCCAGGATGGATGTTAGCGAGAGGGATTCTGGGAAGTGGAAGGACACATGGTGTCTCCTTTTGACCTTTCCTGAACTCTTCCGGTTGGTGGTGTCTTATTAGTTCCGTATTCCTTATCAGGATCTCCTGTCATAAAACAACTCATGCAAATGGTTACTAGGGTGCCTGGCCAGGGTGGGCGGTTTTAATCAGTGTGTTTCCCCTAACATAAGCACACAGTCATTCCCATTCAAGGTCCTGCTGTGCCAGGGGTCTGTGGGAGAGCAGGAGTAGGACCTGGCCACACAAGGAGACCACGGTGTTCCCTAGCTTTAGAGCCAAGCTCAGGAAATTCTCTCTCTTCAGCTCTCCTCGAATCCTAAGAGCCCTTCTTTGTGTCAGAAAAAAACACAACTTTATCCCCTCTGAGACCTGGGCTGATTTCAAAAACAAAAGCCTGTTGACTATTTTTTCTAAGGCAAATGAACCTCCAGTACAAAAGGCCCTGAGTTATTCTTTGGGGGTGGCAAGCATAGGAGAAGATAGGAATGGTTCATTCTTCTACAAAGAAAGTGGCTGACACCACAGAAAATAAGAGTCAATCCTCAAGCAGGTTAGCCTGTCAAACACTAAAGCACTGCTTACTTCATTCTTTGTTCCTGGAGTATGGAGCCTCTCCCAGAAGAGGCAGTAGGCCATTTGGCAGGTACTTTGGATCCACACTGATCATGTACCGGCCTTGTGGTGACCCAAGGACAAAAGAGCAGATGAAACCAAGGAGAGTCTTGGAGTGCAAGAGCAGATAAAAGTTCTTCCTTGACCCCCAACCCCCCCCCCCCCCGCCAAAAAAAAGAGGCTCAAAACTTCTTCCTTGAGCTGGCCCGCTGTTCTAACAGCGTCTCCCACTCTAATAAACTTTATTTCTCTCTCATTCTGTCTCATGTCTGGAAATTCTTTTCAAACCTGTGCACAGACCACAACAGACCTGAGACTGGGAGGTGCTTTAGGTTGAAAGTAAGCAGCAAATCTGGGCTCCCTCATCTTCTGCATAGGCCCCAGATTAACTAGGGAGGATGGAGCTGGCACTCCCAGGTTCTAGTTCCCTGGACTGGCCTCATTCAGACCTTCCCATTTCCTGATCTCTGGAAGAAGTTTGAAGAACCTATGAGGGAATTACCCTAAGGCCACATCTAACCCTTGAATAACAAACTGCATAATGGAATAACAGAGCAATCTTCATTACTGATTTCATGTAAATTTTTATTTTTTGATATCTAATTAAAATATCCTTTTTTTTTGTTATTGAGATTTTTGGAACCCCCTTAAATTTTACACCTTAGATGCATGCTCTGCTTGTTTCACCCTGGCCTGTCTACTAGCAGCTGCCCCTGCCTGAGCCACCTTGAGCCCTTGTAGTTCATTCACTGGATGTAACCTGAGCCTAGCTATGTGTGAGATCAATGGTAGGACCCTGGCATTTCACTCTGACCTTGGGTGAGAGTGGGGGGCCTAGCATCCTTGGCTAGTATTTCTCCTAGACCCTCAGCTGCACTGTATTGAAGTGACACCTGTAAGGTGCAATGAGACCTCTGGGCATTGAGCCAAGAGTCCTTTGATTCTTTTTTTGTCATAGATGGAGAGAATTTGCTAACATACCACTATTCATCAGGGGTCATATGAGGATCTAAGAATTTCAGAAAATCTAGGTTGTTTTGATTTAAGTCCATATTCTTTAATGTGGCCCATAAGAAGGCCAGCCCTTCACCAATGCATTTCATCTGCCTCATATATAGCCATTCCCCCATGTACACTATATTCTTGTCACAGGGAACTGTTTGGTCTGCTTGTTGTTTTCCAAGCATAAGTACTTTCACGCCTCCATGCCTTTGCTCATGCTGTTTCCTTGCCTGGAATACTCTTTTTTTCCTTTCTCTCTGCTTGATAAATTCTTTACTTATCTTCAAGGCCCAAATCAAAAGTTATCTCCTCTGCAGTTTCCACTAATATGTTCCCCTTATTGAAGTTCACTCACACTCCTGATGGAGAAGGCAGTGTCACCCCACTCCAGTACTCTTGCCTGGAAAATCCCATGGACAGAGGAACCTGGTGGGCAGCAGTCCATGGGGTCGCTAAGAGTCGGACACGATGGAAGCGACTTAGCAGCAGCAGCAGCAGCACACTCATGATAGCCCCCGTCCCAATGTCATGTATCTGTTTTTTATGTCTCTTTATAAGATGATGAACTCAGTGAATGACTTGAAAGAGTGACTCCTGAGGTTGCCTCCTCTCCCCCTCATCTTCATTCATTCTCCCTACCCTATAACTTCATTCATCCTCCCTACCCTATAACTTCATTCATCTTCATATCCGCAGCACTTAGCATAATGCTTGGCACATAGGAAGCACTTAACAAACATTTGTTGCATATGATGAAAGCTGCAAGGCAAAATGTGGTTCCTTTATTTTCACTTTCTATTTCCACTGCTCAGGAGATTTTGGTTACTGCTCCCAATTTCCTCCCTTGATCATTTCTGTTCTTTCTGACCATGTGCATCCCATCCCAACTTTAGCTAGCTTTCTGGGGCTAGCTCTCCCAACCCATTCTGCTCATTTATTCTGCAAATCAACACATACTTATTGAAAACCTGCTGTTCTGCAGGCACTATTCTAGGCATTGAGGATACAGCAGTGACCAAGATAGATGGGGTACTTCCATGGAGCTTACGTTATCATTGAAAAACAACCAAAACAAGTAACAAGATAATTTCAGATAACAATGAGGTTTAGAAAGGAAGTAAAGTGATGTGACAGGGTGTGAAGAGAAGTTAGTCAGGTAAGCCCTCTCTGACGAGGAGACTCTAAAATCTGGAGGAAAGAAGAAGGCAATATGGGTACCTGCAGAAAAAAATTTTAAGTAGAAATGTCAGTAAGTGCACAGGCCTAGAGACAAAATCAAATGACTGAAAATTATAAAACATTATATAAAGAACAAAATGATTAAGGCTTTCCTTAGCCTGTCAGTATCCCTTCATTCCTTTCACAACAGAGTAGCTTCAGTTCCTTCTGAGAAGTGGTTGACATCTCCTAACCTCCTCCTTTTCTACCACTCATATCACAGAATTTTCTTCCACTGAATCCCATTGAAATTCATCTGACTGAAGTACCAATCCATGGTATTAGATGCTTTGTGTGGTCCCTTTTGAGGCACTTTTCTCCTCCATCACCTCCAGAAGCACTAAGAGCTGCTGTCCCATTTCCAGGAAAGGTTTACCTCACAGGAACACTCAAATGGAAATCCGGGGGTGGGGGTCGGGGGCAGCATTGAGGAGGAAAAGTCAATTCTCTGGACAGACATCCGCAAGTGGGAGAGCCTGGAGTCCACTTGTGTGAATCCCAGGAGTATCTCTTCACCCTCTACAGCCATTCTTGTTACCTTTTCTCTAAACTGTGTGTTGCCTTCCGCTGGGCTGCCAAGTCCAGCTGGTGAGGGAGTCCGAAAGAGCTGGCCTCCTCTCTTAGATGCCAGAGCAACTGCTTAAAAAAGCGGAAGGGCTTCCTGCTGCTAGAGACATGAAACACTCTCAGTAAGCCAGGAGCCAGAATCAAAACCATATGGTTTGCTTTGCAGAAAAGATCACAGAGCCTAAAATGTTAGAGGAAGGAGGGCCAGCCAGGGGACAAGTTTTGGGAGTAAGGTGGGTGCGCCTATCCCATTCCTAGCAACCCTGCACTCACTCGTATAGTCCCCTATCCTGCCACCTAAGGGTCCTTCTGTCCTTGGACTCCTGGCCTATTTGGACTTTCTTCAGGCCCAGATGATAGAAGTTCTAACAATAAAGTTCAGAAGATTGAGATTATATCCTCTCCCTGGAACATCTTGGTCTCTTAAAGTCCTCCTGACCAGATGCCCCTCAAATGAAAACTGTCCCCATTTACTCTTATCTCTAAGGAACCGACATACCTTACACATTTAACATATTAAACTAGTAGTCTTTTATCTGCTTGTCTCCTGTGAATCTAAATAGATACAGGGTCTCTAAGATTTTTCTTAGATTTTTAAGTTTATCTTAGATTTTCCCCAAGTTCTCCTGAGGTAGATCCATAAGTATTAAAAAGAAATTTATACTCAATGACTCCTTTTAAAAGGATAAGCCATATGGTCATAATGTGGGAGCCTGGATTTAGATCTGTTTTAGGGCTTGAAATGTCAGAGCTCTGCTAGTTCTAACAGTTTCCTGTCCTTACTGCTACATGAGCCAGGATTATTTAAGGACAAGTTGGGGAGGAGATGCTGTATGCCTGAAACTGGGATGGCCTGCAGGGTCTTTTTCTTTGTAGACCAAGGCCAAGGTACCCCAGGAAAGAGTGAATCCTAATTCTGTCCATCTGCTGCCTTCCTGCTCCCCAAACCCACCACTTCAGTGGCTCCCTATAAACGGAAACACTTATGGGGAGATGTCAGTGTCCTTAAGTCTCTCTGTCCATGCAGAAGAGTCTGTGGCAGCTGCATTTGTTTTAGGGCCCAGGCTGACCCATAAATGGGAGGAACATTCCAGGCAGCCCTTTACTATAAGAAAGAGGTAGAGCCTCAGTGTTTCAGAGTTGAGTGCCTGTGCCACAAGCCTCTCCCATAATCTGTTCACCCAGGGCAGGTCTTCAGTATGCTGGGTCATGGAAGAAAAAGCAAACAAGAAGACAGAACAAATAAACTGAGTTTTCCTAATTTTTTTCTGCAGGTGTTTGCTTGGACAGGAAGGCAAATGAAGATGGTTCTCCTTCTTGGCTACTATTGAAGGTAAGTGTTGACAAGGTTATATGATCAGAGATTTGAGGGTAGGATTTCTGTCTTAAGCTTCCCAAAGCTGCAAGGATGATCCTGTTCCTGCCTACCAGACTGCTTGACTTGTTCCGCTATATGCTTAAGTCATTGGAAAAGACCCTGATGTTGGGAAAGATTGAAGGCAGGAAGTTTTTGACCAAAATAAATTATATTTTAATGTTGTTGTTTAGTCACTAAATCATGTCCACCCCTCTAGACCGTAGCCTGCCTGGTCCTTCTGTCCATGGGATTCTCCAGGCAAGAATACTGGAGTGGTTACCATTTCTTCCTGCAGGGGATCTCCCCAACTCAGGGATCGAACCAGAGTCTCCTGCATCTCCTGCATTCACAGGCGTATTCTCTACTACTGAGCCACTGAGGAGGCCCTATATTTTAGTATGTTTTACATATATATATATATATATACACACACACACACATATATATAAAGTGAAGTCGCTCAGTCATGTCCGACTCTTTGCGACCCCATGGACTGTAGCCTACCAGGTTCCTCCCTCCATGGGATTTTCCAGGCAAGAATTCTGGAGTGGGTTGCCATTTCCTTCTCCAGATCTTCCCGACCCAGGGATTGAACCCAGGTCTCCCGCATTGTAGGCAGATATATATATATATATATATATATATATATATATCTAGACCCTGTCTTATTCAAGCATTACAATAATACTACACTTAGGAAAGAGAGTATGAATATCACTATTATATAGGAAACAAACACGAAGAGATTAATTGACCTGCGCAAACTAGCTCTCTTGTCACCAGAATCAAGACTAGAACACTAATTTCCTAACTTCCAGTTCAGTGCCTTTTTTCATCATTTCACCTTAAGAACAAACATCTTCCAAAAGTTTCAGTAAGACGGGGTATTCACAATCATTGAACCCTTTCCCTGGGCCCCTCTTATAATTATGGGGTCTTCCTCTTTCAAGGCTGAGTCATCCTTTGCCACCTTATGCTCCCTCAGATTCACACACAGTTCATATGCATGCAACACTACCAGGCACTTTGCATACTATTGTCTCAGTTCATTCCCCAATATCCCCATTGAGGATATTATTTACCCATGGGACCAATACACTGAAGCTCAGAAAGGGCAGATACATTAGTTTAAAATCGTAGAGCTTATAAGTGTTAGTCAGGAGCTGAAACCAGGTCTTCTGATACCCTGATCCCTTTCTGTGATACCCAAGGAATCCAGAGACAGGAGCCATGTAGGAATCAAACGTAGATCTCAAGACATGAGCAAATTTGTGGACTGTTCCTGCAGGAGGCAGATTCTAAGTCTGGGATACCATGTAATACAATAGACAGCCTCCAGTTCCTCCTATGTGGCAAACATCCTTCCCACTGGGTATCCTCACAGAAAACAGGCAAAACACGCAAGTGTGCTTACGTGGCATGTGCTGCCCCGCCTCCTCCTGCCAGAGGTTTGGTCACAGCTACAGCATCTTCACAACCTATTTAAACCAACTTGCACGAACTGGCAACAAAGTATCCATTCTCTCACAGGCTGAGTCATTGAGCTTCTGCAGAAGTTGGAAGAGGCAATCCTTAGCGGAAACATTTAAGAACCAGGGGTTCCCTGAGAGGTATGTGACAAATTCCATTCAGATACTGAGATTGATTTCTTTCCTCTTTCTTTCTCCCCCACCCCCCAATCACATTCAAAGAGCTAACAAGTTGTTTTCACCTTATCAAGCAAGATGAGAAGAACATTGCTTCCTTTATTCTTGAGTGAGTCTGTGCCAGAGGAGAGCTAACGCATCTGAGTAATTAAGGGTAGCATCTGAGTTATCTGAGAGCACTTTGTACATATGACATTTACTGATAGGTAAATGGTGCTTCAAATACTTCAGCAAAGTCCAATTACAGGCCTCTAAGTCCATTATAATTTACTGCTCCCACAGTTTACCCTGTAAACTCCCACACTGTTTACACTGTTTACTGTATAGGCAGCCCCTCTGCTTTGAAATGCTTCTAAGAAACTATGATGGTGCAAATTTGCTCAACTGACAGCTGAATGTGCATGTAGCTCCATCAGAGAGGGAAAGGCAAATGTAGGTGTAAGGACTAAATTTTATCTCATGGCATCTGAGCAGCCTCGATGGCCTGACGGCTTTGTTGTGCTATATGGGTAACAACTGGGTCATGAGATAATTCACAAAACTCTCCAGCAGTCCAGGCTTTCCTGGGGTTAACTGTTGTTGTGGGGCTGGGTTGAGGAAAAGCAGATCTTCTCAAGCTGCAGCTGCAGTTGACATCTCCTTCACCCCATACCTGAGCTCCTGCCCCCTGGAAGAGAAGCCCGAGTAATGACAGCTGTAGCTGCAGAGACGGGTTCTTCTTGGCAGTGGCTGATTCCGACTTCAGAGCTGTGGATGTTGAGCTAGAAAGCAGTACAGAGAGAGAGGGCCAGGAAGTAAGTGACGCCGGGAAATGGGAAACTCAGGGGAGAAAGGACTTGACTTTCTTCCCCTCACAAAGATGTGCTTTGCAAGGTTTGTCTTTTCATCTGGACTGGTGAGTTTCAAAATTTTTAGTCTTTAGACAACTTGAGCTAGACAAAAGTATTACCCATTTACTAGATTGAACAAGCCAGCAAACAAACCAACCAACCACTTTTCAGGTGTGTTTGCTGAATCCCTGTGATTATTTGTAGGTCCCTTTAAACATATTTGTTTTGATGCTTTTAAGTTTTGATTGAAATCCACAGCAGAAAATATGTTTTAAAAGGGGGGAAAAAAAAATCAACACACTTCGGTGCCTTGCGTTTTGACCCAGCCCACAGAACGGTTGGAAGAATCTCTGCAGACCCACTATAGATCCCTGGATTCCACTTGGAGGACCATTAACCTAAAAAAAGACATCTTGATTTCAGAACCCTTCTTTTGATCTGGAGTTATCTGTTACTGACCACAGACAGCTGCTACTGACAATTCCCGGGACAGGGCCCTGTAGAGTGAGAGGTGAGTCCAGTGTGGGCAGAAGAAATTTCTTTCTCTTTGTCAACGAGTGTTTCAGTACAGAGCCATATCTGTGCTTAACAGGATATCTATGATCTCAATTTCTTCTCCTTTTCTTCCTCTTCTTTTTCTTTCCTTTCCCTTCCTCCCTCCTCCTCATTTTCTTCTACTGTTTTGTTTCTTCTGTAGTAAAAAAATTCACCAAGCCCTTGGTGCCTAGATGATTTTTTTTTCCTGGTACATTCCACTGATTTAAGTTTCCAAATTAGTTTCTTACTTGGGTGCAGAATCTTCCTATATTTGAGCACCTAAATTTTTGTAAAAGCAGTTGGCCACTGCCCATACTTTGTGTACAGGTAGCTGAGATAGTACCAGAGAAGAGAAGGCTACAGGTTTGTGCCCTTTCCTGTATCAAAGTGTGGAGCTCTATTGAGATACATAGGAGAAGAACATTCCGGGAGGGAGCAGCCATGTTGCAGAGAACCGACACCACCGATGATATAAAGAACAAATCCAGGAAGAAATGGAACCATACCTTGGAAGCTTGAAGTTACAGTGGTTCATTTGGTCAACCTGCTCTGAAAATAAAGGAAAAGATTCTCATGTTGAAGGTAGGGCATGTGCTTGCGTTTCCTCTGCTTAAGCCACAGGGATCTCATTAAGGATCGGGACACTAACACTGATTGCTTCATTTTGGGCACAACTCTGAGCAGGAAAGCCCCATACAAAGGTAATTACCAGGAATGGGGGGGTGCCCATTATAGCCTTTTGATTTGGTCACTCAAATATCCTGTCAGACAGATGAAGAAAGGAGACCGATCTTTACCTCAAAAGAAGTAAATTGTAGGTTGAAGTGTTTGGTTTCAGTCTCTGTCAGGTTGAGGCTTTGAAAAACAGATCTGTGGGTCTAGGAAACCACTTACAGGATTCAGTTGCTTTGGAGTCCTGTGCATAATCAAGGATATAAAGAAATGTATAACTCAATTTGAGACAATTGTTTTTAATTGGCAGTTTTACTGTCGAGTACGGTAAACCCATTTTGTGTAAATGGCTCGGGATTGAAATACAGTCTGGGAAAAGGGCTGTTTCTGGTTCTTCAAGACAGTCTGAAGGCATCTCAAAAATTAAAATAACATGAAACTTGCCATCTTTCTGTACACTGCAAATGTTTTTCTTTTCCAAGTGCTTCTGCATATGGGTGAGCATTCCAGCAAAGATGCAGTTACAGTTCAGTACGGGAAAGCAAAGGAGCCTAGGGTTTCGATGAAAGAGCCAGGACGCTAGTCAAAAAGAGAGAAGAGTTCTTATAGAAACAAAACAGAAAATAGAAATAAAAAAGATCACATGTCAATGTGTGTGTCGGGTTTGGGAGGAAGGTAGATGGTAGCAGAGTGTCATCTTTGATTGAGATAAGAAAGAATATGGCTCAGGGAAAATGTACACAAAGAAATAGACTGTGGCTTGAGAGAAAACTGAGTTCAGTTGGGTAGGGAAGATTTATTCAGGTTTTGGTGAGGAAATTGGAAAGAACTGTAAAGCTAAAGTCTGTATCCAATTTAAATACCTGTGCAGATGGGTCTGGGGGGCCAAAGTAGTCCCTATAGCCCCAAGAGGTCTGCATTTTGCTCATAGGGCAGCTCTCTCGAGGAAAAAGAAGAACGGGGGGTGTTGCAGTGGGGGAGAGCTCTATAAGTCCTTCTGATAACCCCCACAAAATTAGGACACAGCCATAAATTGCCTACTAGACAGCCACCAGTTCTGTCTCCATCTGTTCCCCAAACCTGTGCTTACAGATTCTTTATATTCAGGTGTTTTTAAGAAGAATCAGCTTGGAACAAAAGTACTAAATTCAAAACATTCTAAACCACAATTTAGATCTTATTTAAAAGATGAAAGGATGAAAAGTGTGACTCTTTTCATTTGTTTAGAAATAGTCCTTTCTGACTGGTTCCCATCCAGTATATGTTTCACTCTTTCCTTGGTTTGTTCCGCTCTTAAGTGCCATCAGCCCTCATTCAATACAGTCAGTGATTGGACTTTCAGAAAGGATAAAACTGGTTATTTAAAATTGTCTCCTTATGTCCTATAGTTGCACCCTTTGACATTCCCTTCCAGAAAAGTGATGTCATCCCCATCCACAGCACCACTGTAAGTCAGGGACACAGAGAAAAAACCACTAGACCCCAGTGAAGTTACACTGATCGGAGCTTCGGGATGGTCGGGTGGCCTGATTCTCGGTAGCAGCAGGCCCTGGTGCACAAAGCTCAGTAGCGGGAATTAGGAGGCCAGTTTCTAAGCCTGCATCTACTTCTGTCTGTGGGGCTTTAACCTCCTCATAGACTTGCTCAGGGCTGCCATCTTCCTGTGCATCAAAGAAGACAAAGCCTCGCCTCTCCTACTTGTGAGGAAGACGATAGCTGAAAGTCCCTGACTTTGCTGGGTGACAGGGAGCCAGGTCAAAGAGAGAAGGTTGTGACAGCTGCCTTTTTCACTTGATTGCTTAATTTTTAAAATCTTGATCTCCCTCTTCCCTGGGATCCTGAATGGTCTGGACACAGACCACAATACTATAAACTTTTATTTGACGTTTGTTTCTATTAAACAAAAATGTGTACAGCTTGATGAATTTTCATCACATGAACACACCCAGGAAAACTGAACCTAGATCTAGAAACAGAACATTACCAGTACGCAGAACCCCCTCATGCCTTCTTTAAGTCTCTTTCTTCCCAAGGGTAACCACTAACCTGACTTCTAACACCATAATTAAGTTTTGCCTGTTGTTGGTGGTGGGCGGGGGTGGTGGTGGTGGGGCGGTATGTACTTTGATGTGTGACTTCTTTTGCTTTGTAAGATTTAGTTATGCTATTGCATGTAGTAATATTTGGGATTTTGTTTTTTGACTGCACTATGCAGCTTGTGGGATCTTAGTTCCTCAATCAGGGATCCAATCCTGTGGCCCCTGCATTGAAAGGGTAGAGTCCTAACCACTGCACCTCCAGGGAATTTCTGCATGTAGTAATATTTTATTTGCATTGCTATATGGTATTTCATGAATTAATATACCACAATTTATTTATTGATGGGCATTTGGGTTGTTTCCAGTTGGGGACTATTATGAACAGTTCTATTAGGAACATTTGTGAACAGTTTTTTGCTGAACATATGAATGCAATTCTATTGGGTATATCTAAAAATGGAAGTGCTAAATTGTAAGACATGTGAGTTCTGCTTTAATAGATACTGCCAGTTTTCCAAATTAGTTGTATCATTTTACATTTCTAACAGCCGTGTCTGAGGTTTCTGGGTTTTTTAACATCCTCATGGTTCAGACGGTAAAGAATGTGCCTGCTAATGTGGGAGACCCAGGTTTGATCCTTGGGTCAGGAAGATTCCCTGGAGTAAGAAATGACAACCCACTCCAGTATTCTTGCCTGGAGAATTCCATGGACAGAGGAGCCTGGCAGGCTACAAGTCCATGGTGTTGCAAAGAGTCAGACACTACTGAGTGACTAACACTTTCACTTTCAGTTTTCATCAATACTTGGTATTGTCTGTCTTTTATATTTAACTATTTTGGTGAGAGAATAGTAGAATGCCTTTCTATTTTAATTTATATTTCCTTGACACTAATGAAGTTGAGCACCTTTTGTCATTCATTGGCCATTTGGATATCCTGTTTTGTGAAATACCCTTCATATCTTGAACCTATTCTGTTGGGTTGTCTGACATTTTTATTGCTCTGTGTTCTTTAAATTGTAGACATTGGTTGTGTACAAGTTACAAATATCATTTCCCAAATGCTGTCTAAGCATACTGGACCCTGAAGCAAAGGGAAAATCAGTAGATACCTATGTTGATTTAAAATTAAGACATTTTATTCATCATGGATTTTAAAAAACTAATTTTTATTTTTAAAAATATTGCAAATATCTTGTTTTGATTACTGAGGGGTTTTTTTGTTGTTGTTGCTGTTGTTTTTTGATGCCCTCTTAAAAATTTGTGTCCAAGCTTAACACTTTACTAGACTTTCACCTGAGGCTTCAACTTGCCTCACCCTAGGCCTGGCTCTTATTCCATTCTGCGGCTTCCATTGTCACTGTCTTTATAGTGTTATTTGATGAAAAGGAGTTCCTAATTTAAATTTAAATTGATTAAATTATTCAAGATTTTCTTTCATGGTTAGCATCTTTTAAAAAAATTCTGTTAAAATTTTTTTTCCTACCTAAAGTCATAAAAATTTTCCCCTATAATATTTTTTTGAATAGTGCTGTTCAATAGAACTTTCTGCAGTGATAGAACTATTCTCCAGCTATGCTGTACAATATGACAGCCAACATGATGCAGGTATTGAACACTTGAAATGTGGCCAGTATTTCTGATGTATTGAATTTTAAATTTTATGTACTTTTTATTATTTTATTAAATATGGATAGTTGCAATGTAATCTGAAAACATGATCCATCTAGAATTGATTTTAGGCTATGCTGTAAGGTCATATTTCCTTTTTTTTCTTCCATATGGATAGCCAATTGACCCAGTATTGTGTACTGAAAAGACTATTAATTCCTTTTATAGTTAGACAGTTTTCTATGAGAGTCTGGTTAATCTGGTTCTGGCATGTCCATTTTGAAAATTTATCTATTAGTTTGTCTTTGTGCCAATTCCATGCTATTTCAAATACTGTAGCTACTATAATGAACTTAATACATAATAGAATAAGTTTTTCATATTTCTGATCTTCCGCAAGGTTATCTTGACTATTCTTGAACTTCTGCTCTGCATTTCCACATAGATTTTTTTTTTTTCATTTCCACATAGATTTTATTTATTGAAGTGTAGCTGACATAATGATTTGACAGCACAGTGGCCTGACATGCAAATACATTACAAAATGATCACTATGATAGGTCTAGTAACCATCTGTCACCATACAAAGTTATTATAGTATTATTGATTATATTTCTTATGTTGTATGTTACATCTTTCATGCATGTATGC